AATTAGGAGTAAAATCTTACATGCATTTATTATTTTTAGACTTGTTTCACTAAATTACTTAAAGTACTGAAAAATTAACCCTAATTCATCACAAATACAGTGTATAATAATGTTTCGGAAGACATTTTACGATTTATAACTACTATTTACTCCTAGCTACCATATCAATAATAATAATAATAATTTTGTTTTTGGTGTATTTTTAATAGCATTCTGAAAAATAAAATATTTAATAAAATATACGTTCGATTCGAAGTTATTTATATATACAGGGTGTCCACTTAGTACGATATCGGACGATATCTCCTTACAGGGTGATGCAAGAAAAAAAAATTATATTACAAAGTTTTTTGATATTCTAATATGCATTAGTTAAAAATATTTTCGAATATACAGGGTGCTCCTTTTATGGGGTATGCGACAGAACTTTGTTATTTTAAATAGAACACCCTATATGTGATTGCATATTTGGCATCTACGTAAAATTCTGACCAGATTTCATGTAATATACCCTATACCTAAGTTCAACTGTTCTGGAAATATTGACAGTTGAAAATTGACTTTTTGCAACTTTGACAGGCTGTAAAACCTAAACGGTTAATTTTAGACGAAAACCGATTTTACATTCCTATCTTAGATTTTCATAAACTATCATTTGACACCAACTTTGAATTTAACCAGAGATTAAATTTAACTGGAATTTTTAATCGTGGATTAAATTCAAAGTTGGTGTCAAATGATAGTTCATAAAAATCTAAAATGGGAATGTGAAATCGGTTTTCGTTTAAAATTAACCGTTTAGGTTTTACAGCCTGTCAAAGTTGCAAAAAGTCAATATTCAACTGTCAATATTTTCAAAACAGTTGAACTTAGGTGTAGGATATATTACATGAAATCTGTTCAGAATTTTACGTAGAATCCAAATATGCAATTACATACAGGGTGTTCCATTCAAAATAACGAAGTTCTGTCGCATACCCCATAAACGGAGCACCCTGTATATTCAAAAATATTTTTAACTAATGCATATTAGAGTATCAAACAACTTTGTAATTTAAATTTTTTTTCTTGCATCACCTTATAAGGAGATATCGTCCGATATCGCACTAAGTGGGCACCCTGTATATATTTATTTTTTTCACATTGTTGCTGTCAAGTTTCTAGACTTTAAAAAATACACCTTACCAAAAATTAAGTTAAAATTCTTTGAATGCATTAAAATTCCTTTGGTAATATCCATTCTAGGAAATTATATTAAGGTATTGTTTCACAGTTTGTATAAACATTGTTATTGTCAATCTACATTTAGAAATTAAAGTGTCAACAGTCTTATCTTGATATATTTCTTTTAAAACTATATTATTGTCATTCCTAATATTAAAATTTAATTACCTGTTTGTAGAATTTAAAATATCTGTTGTTAGACTTTTCATTATTATTCCTATTTACATAAACTTAGTAGGTGAAGTTGTAGTAGATTTCATAAAAAGCTCTTATTTCGATGCACGAATTTGTTGATTTTGTGTATTACCAAAGAATTATTACTTAAATAAGTTTGATTGCTGGTCCGTAAATTATTTTTCTATTGAATTTTTTGATTCCTTATTCTTCTGCTTGTTGATATAAACTGTGTATCAATTTCTGTAATACCTTCCAATTCTCTAGATGACCAGTGATATATCGACTGGGAGTAGTCTTTTTAACAGCTTGATCTTACTAATTATTGACAACAACAAACCTTAGTCATAAAGTCATAATATTTAGTATTATAAGTCCTCATTTTCGAATAGTACCTAGTCATAAATATCACTTCAAAAATGATGAGATAAATTTAACTTTTTATGTGAGAATGACTGCGTGAAAAAAATTAACGAAAGGAATTTAATGGCCTCGAAGTAGATAGTTAGGAAGTTTTATAAGCCAAAGATACCAGAGCGCGCTCTGGCCATTTGATATTTTTACTGCTGCAAAATTGATTGCCATCTGGGAACGACCCTCAAATTTTTACATTGTTTTATTTTTCAATGTTGCTCACTTGTTTTGCTCTACAAACTCATCTACTTGCCTGTGAATTTAGAAACTTATTTTTTAACATAGATCATCTTGCTTGACGATTTTTGGAGTTTCTGCCATCTAGAAACGAGCGAGAATTGTGAGCAAGCAAAGTCCTCGATTAAACCAGGTTCGAATCCTGGCCAGACTGATTATAAGGGCCGATTTACACGTATCCAGTAGCTGGCGCCAGTCTCATTGGCGTTCCAGTTCTGGCGCCGTGTGAATACTTGCTCGTGCCAGTCCAGCGCTTGAGCGAATAGAGAGTGTCTATTTTCCTTGCCAGTAGGATACTGATGCTGAAAACTCACGATTGACTGGACTCTGGGTCCAGCGCTTTGCCAGCCAAGAATTGGCATGTAAATCGGCCATTAGTTTCAATCGTACATTAACTGGATGCCCAGGGAAGAATGGCAAAATGTATTCTCCCAGTGGGCAAGTTGCAGTAAGAGAAAAAGCATGCCTGATGTTTTTGTAAAAATGATGAACGTGGTTCCCGGTTACACAGTAGGTCAGCATTTGAAAAAATAGGACAAAATTTATCGATAAATAAATACATATTAACATTTCGTTACACATTAAATTTTAAAAGAAATATATCAACGTTTATCATTTTACATTTTATGAACACCATATTAAGATATCGTTGTGGGAAATATTCAGTGCATTGCCATGTTAATTAATTTTTCTTTTACAAATAACACTTTTATATACTCAAAGCATGGAAATATAAAATAAGATATGTTAATCTTTTTTGAAATGTTTTGTTACTCGATATTTGATTCTATGATATGTTCTTATTAACATGACAATTTCCTGATTAATCTATATTATTACAATATATAGTGATGAGTCCTACTCCAAAAATTGTTTATTTATTGTCTATAGTCTACTTATTTCAGTACTTACATTTTTTAGGATTTTTTTTTCCAATACTTGTTTTAATTTACAATTTATGGTATCTTTCAGCAAAGTTTACAAAATAAGTAACTTATATATTCTATAAGCTTTGCTTTGAACTAGTTAGATTTTCTGAACAAATTATAATAATTACCCTGTACTGTTAATAAATGGGTTGGAACCCTCAAAATTTATGAAAGTAATATATTTGCGAAAATTGAATTGAACAATGCAACGCATATGAGATGGCATATTATTGAACCAATTCCTGTTCATTTCCATTGACGGAAAAGGAAGGTTGTAGACTATCTATGGGTATGTATTATTTCAAATAATAATAAATATTTGGGAATGATGTTGATGACTGAGGTCAACATTTTGGTCATTGTAGAATGAGAGGCTTTGTGGTAAATACCTACAACAGGGCCTAAACTAATATAATTCTCAAAGCCTGAGTTTTATTGGTAAATGAGAAACTTATATTGACAGGACAAGGCTCGTCACGGTAGATCATTGATCGTCCCTGCATGTATTTATTAGTGCATTTCCGGTAGCTCGGCTATACTCGCCTTCAGCAGCACCGCCTCGATTCGCCTAAACCGGGTACAAGTTAATTCGTCCTATTCCTCCCTATGTGTCTAATAGCTTGGTCCGGTCTGTACATATTTTACTAATATAATGTATAATGTATAACTTAGGGTTTCACGTTTAACTTCGAAGAGATTCAGCCATTCTTCGTTGGTGGATATCTAATCATTTCAACAAATATGTTTGCAGTCACTTTCCTAGTACAAATATACAGGGTGAGCAAATTTGGAGGTGCATCATGAATTGCGAATTACTTTTTGTGTGAAAAAGTAGATACATCGCTGAATAATATGTTTCAGTTATTATCAGATTCACAACAGCAGTCATTATAAAATTTCAATAGGGTAAATTTATAATATAGATATAGATAAACGCAAATAGACCATATGCTGGAAGAGATCAAGGCGCAGAAGCCTTCGATTGAGTGATAATAATATTTTTCAATAGATCAACCAAATAGGTATATACTTTTGTGGAAGGTCGATTCTCACCAGACAGGCGAACACACTGACAAAAACGTTTCCCGGCTATTAATAAAAACGCAATAATGAAACTAATTACAATTTTTCGAAAAGGAAAACGTTGGACTTCATATTTAGCGTTGCCCAGCTCCAAAGAATGAAAATGGCGATCCCATACGATGTGGTGAATGTCTCCCAACGTTAAACGCATCGCCATTTGACACACTGTGTAGGCGTGCGCTTGCGAATTGCATGTGTCCAACGTTGGTCACATGGCACATCCGAGCTCTTGCCGGTAAATTTCATCACCATCAAAAGGGACTTCAAACGTTGGAATCACTGTTCGTCAAACGCCTATACGAGCGATCATGTGCTTGTCGCTTTTAGTCTAGAATCAGTAGCGCCAAATATTGTTTCATCTCTTTACCCAATCCAATTTACGACTATGCCAATGAACATCGGTTGACAACGTTAGCACCAATATGCGTCCAATGTTGGAACTAAACGTTCATACCATTGTGTGGAAGACACAGTTGCCAGTTGTAGTGTGTCAAAACGTTGCATCCAATGTTGGATCCAAACGTTGGACTGGTTTAAATTTCACCCGCATCAAAAGGAGTTCCGGACGTTGGAACCATCATTCGTCTCACGCCTACACGAGCCTTCATGTGTTTGTCGCTTTTAGTATAGACAATGCACATCAGTTGCCAACGTTGGCACCAACATGCGTCGAGTGTTAGAACAAGAAATTCACCCTATCGTCTGGGAGACACGCTTGTTAATAGTAGTGTGTCAAAACGTTGAATCCAACAACAAAAATGGTTTTATTGAGAGAAATTATTATCTCTGGTGGTGTTTCCATTCGAAAAGATATCACACAACTAATTTGACTTTATTTATTGAACTGACTTTATTGAAGCCATTTTTCCAATTCTTCATAGCATACCTACCGATATTAAATTATAATAAATACAATCCGTTTTTTCATTGAAATCAAGATTTTTCCAGTATTCTCTGAGGTCATAGCTATAAGAAAAGGTTTGTATTATTGCCGTGAGGACAAACAGTTTTTGGTATGATACTATAAATAATTATGAACTGTTTCTGGAAAATGTGGGTCGTATCAGGATGTATGACAAAAGCTTCTAAGGTTTTGAAACCCGATTTCAATAAAAAGGCTACAAACTACTACTCTACTAGATGATTTGTCGAACAGATTTCGACGAAATTTCGATACCGCGAAGGGTAATGTAGTTGAACCATTTTGGTGGAAAATTATTCTACTAATTTCACCTTTATCACCTTTTATCCAAATATTATCTGATTCATCAAATGAGAAAAATCAGATTGATATTTTTTGCAAAAGCATAATGACCTAATATTCAGTAGCTGTAACTATTCCGCTAGTGTCCCGTTACATAGGTACCTACCTATTTTTAAATCGTTTTTATATTGATAATGAAAATCTCAATAAATGCACCAATAAGTTCGTCCACCATGCATGCATACTTATTTATTATCGTACAGTGCTGTTGTTGGTTTAACCACCAGAGTTTAGGGAATAAACAAATTATCAAAGAATTCTGATAAATCATTCTCGTAAAATCATGAAACAACATTTAAAAGAATCAGTTAACTTAAAAGGTGGAGGTCTAATAATATTAACGTTTAAAATTTTTTTGAAATGTAATGTCTTAAACTTTCCGATTTCTTCTGGGTGTTTTTTAGATAATTCAACAATTTGAGTTCTATATACATACATTTTTCGAATATACCCTTTTTTTATAAACTATTGTCTAAAATCACGAGATGTGTAAAAATACTTCCAATAAAAATATTAACATATATATTTGTTGAAATGGCACAATTTCTCTGTTGCAATATAATAGATGGTGCCTGCGTGGTCGTAATGGGAACAGAAATCGATGGGGGTATCGATTTGATATCGGGAGAGAACGGAATTGGTAGTTCCTTTTCCTCTTTTATATTGTCGAATTCTTTCTTCCTGGGTTTTCCGGGCTTCGGTTTTGTTGGTTTGATCAATGGTTTGTGAGGCTTGGTCGCTGTGTAACGCGGCATTGGTGTCGTTGTGCTGGTCTCTAGAGGCAGATGGATTTCTGAAAAACAATATGGGTGAAAAATTACATAAAATGGAAGAGGAACAGCGTAGAAGTTATAGGCAAAACAGGATCGGACTAATGTATGCCAGTAAACGGCATTGTTAATAAAAATACGGACGTGGGCAAACTGGGCAAAAAAGCCACAGATGCATTCGGGTGTTCTTGCACCAGATTGTTCGGAGCCAACATTGTACAGTCAGTGCTGAATTTATCGCAGCCATAAATTTAAAAGTCAATTTTGTGCTCTTGCCTGAGGTGCACGGAAGATACATAATGAAATCAAGAACCACTCTACCATACTATACAATCAGGCATAGTAACATAATACCAATCTCCTTAGGCACTCGACCCACAAAATGCAATTATCATGCATTCATGGAACCACACCTATTATTCACGAGATATTGAGAAATAGCTATAGAATCATGTGAGTAGAAATATTTCTGTTTATAGGCAGGCGAGATATTGAGAAAAACTTGCAGATTGTATATTGCATTTAGAGCCGTGCGTGACTGCTTCTTGTTGGTTTCCAAGATTTGGAGGCTTCTTCCAAAGGAGGCCGGCTTCCTGGGTGGTAAAGTCCCAATCTCTTGGGGTATTTCAGCCTTTTGCAGAAGTGAGCAGGGCATTCACAGATTGAATCTTCTAAAGTTTCTGTTGCTTCATTCGCAAAATCTGCAGTACTCGTTGTCTGATTTGCCTATTATTTTTAAGTGATATTTCAGCAGGCAATGCCCAATGAGCTGACTGACGACTATTCTAATGTCTCTTATGTTTATGTAAAGAAGTTGTTCAGATCCCTTTGCTGAGATGGATATGAACCTTTTTGCCCGTCTCAGATCCGGAATGGATCTCCAATGAGCTATCATTCGGTCTTTTTCCCATCTGTTCATTTCTTCGGAGATGTGGCTTTTCATAGTCCACAAAAAGGCTCTGGGCCTTGAAAAAGTGTTAGAGCACCTTGCTCTGCGAGGTGGTCTGCCTCGTCGTTGCCCTGTATGCCCTGGTGGCCTGGCACTTACATCAAGGTTGTATATGCGCATTTTTACCCACCAAAACTAGTTGTGAATTGCACTTGATGGTTCCTAGAGGATTTGAACCTACTTGACTGCCGGACAGTATGTAAGTGTGCTCTTTTTAAAATACCTCTTTGAAAGCACTATTGAGCACATGTTTATGGCCATTACCTCAACTTGAAATATTGTGGGCGTTTTACTCATTGCTAAGGAGAGTTTAAAGTTTGGTCCAGTTATCCCCAGGCCGACTCCTTCCATTAGCTTCGAACCATCTGTGTACCGCAATGATGCGTTGTCGGTTTGCGGTAGCTTTGCATTCTTCCATGATGGGCTTTCTGTTACAACCACTTCATATGGAAGGTTAAAGTCCAGTGTTGTTATCATATGATCTGTTGGTTTACTTTGGCACTCGAGCTTTATAAATTGAAGGATGTGTAAGTGGCCATTCAGATTACCAGGTTTAAATCTTTTTGTCTGGAATAGCCTATAGGATCACCGATGGATAACTTTCACATTAAACTGCCACCTAAAACCACAAGACCTTATCGTGACCCAAGAAAAACCAATATTGCACATTACGTGCAAGGTCTGGAAAGGGCTCTACGAGAGGTTGCAGTTAAAACATCCAATGACGACCAAGAACTGGAGCGGTATGCCAATACCATCCAAGGTGCCATCATAAAATCTTATAAGATGTCGAGCCCACTGAGGATGTTCCAAAACTCTGGTAACACCTCTGCTTGGTGGTGTCAGGAACTGGAACACCTCAGGGCGACAACAAGAAAAGTTTTCAATAAAGCTAAAAACACCAAACTACCTGAGGATTGGAACCTTTATAGGTACCAACTCAACCAGTATAAAAAAGTCGTACGACAAAAACAAAGAGATGCCTGGAGGACATACTGCAACGGAATATAAAACTAAACGGAAACGGCGAGACTTCAGAAAGCTCTTAATAAGGACCCATTTCGGGAAATTTGAATCTTGTGCAAGGACATACATACCTTCTGTAGCTGATTGGCCACTAGCGAATCAAAAATTAAACGAGGTAAAAATAGATTAGGTAATTTCAGGCTTCTCCGCCTTCAAAGCACCAGGACCTGACGACGGCATCTATTCAGCCTTACTTCAGTGGGGTCTGAAGCCATACTCTTGCCGCACCTGGTAGGGATGTTCAGGGAGTCTTTGGCGCTGAGATAGGATTCGAGAAAAGTTAAAGTGGTGTTCCTACCCAAACCAGGGAGGGTGGACTACACCACCTCCAAGGCACATGCCCCATAAGCCTCTCATCATTTTCTCTGAAAACAATGTAGAGGCTATGCGAAAGGTACATAGGGGATGAAGTGTTGTCAACCAATCCACTCCACCCTAATTAACATGCATATCACCCCGGGAGATCACCGGATAAAGCCCTCCACCTGGTTGCTTGGCAAGTGGAAAAATTCGCTGGAGAGTCCGCTCTCGGGGTTTTCATCGACATTGAGGGGGCTAACAGAAAGAAATACTCCGGAAACTGTTACCGAATGGATATTCAATATGCTTTCCAAAAGAATTGTACAGATAAGTGTGCAGGACGTTAACATTAAAGGAATGGTCACAAAAGGCTGCCTGTGGAGAGGCGTGCTATCACCTCTCCTGTGGAAAATAGTTCTGGACAGCCTCATTGTTCGCCTAAACAATGGCAACCACTACACAATAGCTTACGCAGAAGACGTAGTTATGTTGCATAGAGGTAAAGCCGAAAACTAGATCACGTTCAGAGAATGACATGCCTCAACATAACTGGTGCAATGAAAACCACACCAACTAGAACTTTGGAAGTAATTCTATGTCTCACGTCCCTGAATACTTATGTCAAGGAGGTCGTTTTAACCACAATGATGCGCTTCCGCACTGTTGGAATAGAACCAAGTGAAGTCGATTTGCAGAGAGCCCGCATATGTCGTGAGGCCACGAACTCGCTTCCATTGTTGGAGGCCAGATTGGACTCTGCAACACCATGTTTCGTCTTGAAAAAGCACTACGCAATCAACACGACAGGCATTGGAAACAACACAGTGGCAGGGGTAAGTAACATCTGATGGTTCCAAAACTCAAACAGGCTCGGGATTTGGAGTATACTCCAAAGCTCTCAAACTGAACCTAGCTATAGCCCTTGGCTCCATGCCTGATGTCATCCAAAGGGTAATCTGGCATAACCATCGCGGCCGAACAAATAGTCAGCAACAATATCACTGACAAGATCGTAAACATCCACACAGACTGCAGACAAGCAGTACTAGCGCTATTTAGACCGCTTCAGAACTAGTACCACCGTACACTCACAGAAGCGTCGATCAACAACACGGTAATAGTCAGCTGGATCAAAGGATATGATCACAGCAAAGGCAATCGGGCTGCCGATGCTCTAGCTAGGAGGTCCACGAGGCTACATCCTTCTGGACCGGAGCCCTTCGTAGGGCTGACCATGTAGGCGGCGCCGGCGGCGCCGGCGGCCAGAGATATGATAAAAAAAACGCTCCCATACCCTTTTCAAAAAGCTCTGGGACGATACAAATGGCTGCAACTTATCCAAGGAACTGCTAAGCTACCCAGATAAAGCTGCAGTGAGCCAGAATCTGTCGTTGACCAGGAAAAGGCTACACCTAATAACGGGCATCTTGACTGGCCACTGTCAGTTAAACAAACATTTGTTTAGGCTGCAACTTAGTACCACATCCTTGTGTAGGGCTTGTTATCAAGAAGACGAGTCGATAGAGCACATTCTCTGTGACTGCACTGCTCTTTCGCCAATAAGCAGAGATCAGATAGAAGAGATCAGAGGCACCGCCCTTGGTGACGTCATCGCCTACGTGGAATCTCTAGGCTGGTTGACGAGCTAAGGATGACCTCACCTCTTGTGGAGGCGCACAATGGGCCTATTGTGTCCCAAGTGCTGTAGCATACCATATATACCACCCTCCCAAACTTACAGATACAGAGACTAAGGCCTCTTTCTCACATATAGGTGGAGAGGAGGCATGTTCAGCAGTGCTTCTAAAGCTGCGGTGGGGCAGGTTGACATATCCCCTGTTATTCCTAGACAGATTAGCCTTTGTACTTTTCTTAGTGATATTGTTTTGTTCAGATGGTTGATCCAAGTAAGTTTGCGGTGCAGGGTGACCTCTAAATACTTAACCTCATCCTAGAGAGATAATCGAGTGCCGTTTAAACTGGGGCTCGCAGATTCAGCTTCCTTATTTTCGTTAACAGAACTAAGGTTGTTTTGCTGGAATTTATGAAAAGTCCTTCTTCCTCGCTCTAGTTTTTTATTACAATGAAGGCACTTTGCATTCGGTCTTGCCTCTGATTATCACTGCCAGATCATCTAATCATTTTCGTAGCCTAGGACAGTTATTCCGACGTTGCTCAGTCTGGTTACCATGCTGTGTACTACTAGTGTCCACAGGAGAGTCGAAAGGACACCACCTTGTGGGCAGCTTTTAACCGTGGTAAAAAAACTTACCCTGGATGAAATCATCAGAGTATCCAATGTATCTATATTTAGTTCAATTTCCAATTTGTCGAAAGATGCCTTCCTGATCTGTTTTAAATGAAATATATTAGTGAAGGTTCAAGGTGAGGAAAAAAAATTAATCGATTTTAATCGACCCGAGTAATGAGAGTCTTTTGAAAAAAAAAAAAAATAACGTGAATTGGTACGTTCAGGTCATCTATGGATGATGATTGTCACAAAAAAGAATGTCTTAGGTAACATTGCAACATTTACCACTTGACAGTTCTGGTCATAGCTGTCAGAGAGGTTGAGGATAAGTCGCATTCAAAAATCCGCCAACGATTCAAGAGATCAGTGCGGTGGGAAAACTTTTTGAAGCTTGGATACAGGTGACAATAAATCGGTCGAATAAGAGCCGAAGCGAAAGAAAATTTTAATTAAAAACTTAAGTTTGAACTTTAAAACTCAAAGGCCATTTTGAATATTTATTCAAATTATTATTTGAAAATGTCAAAGAGAGCTATTACTAATAAAAAATAAAACCAATTAATTAATTTATTGAATTTCTATTGCTGCCCATGGAGACGCCGCCTAGAAATGGAGGCAATGGTGTTTTAATAAATTTATATCGTTTTTCACTAAACGGACAAGTGATTTTCTATGGTCTCCTATATTTGGATATTATTTTGATACTTGCTATTTTTTCGAAATATTTATAGACATGCAATTTTTTATAAAATATTATAACTATAAAATTCGACTGTTCAATCAAAGCCTTAGCTGCCTTCGAAACATAAATATAAATTCGGAAGTCGAAATGACATTTTTTTCTCCCTACCTTGTAATCGAACCGTCCCTTCGGCTTTGCCCAAAGCGTTGGATGACGTGCATATGTAGCCTCCAATATCCCTTCTTTCGATGTTACGTATTCTCAAATTCATTTGTAAAGAATATTCATTTTTCTGAATCTCCTCCATTACGTACTTATCGTTGGATATTATCTTCTCGCCTGGAAACGGAAAAAATTATGGGGTGTGTCAAATTACTGTTCCCTTCTCCAGCACAGGGTTCTTTTTGATTACATACAATAAAATCCGTCCCAAAATTTTTTTATTGTGTTTGTTGCGTATAATATTAGGAACAAATTTAAAAAAGGATAAGGTTTATATTTTAAGTTAGGTAAATACTCTTGTTGATTATATCGTATTCCTAAAATATGAGTAGTAAATACTCAATATTTCAAGGCATAGAATATGCGCATATGCACAAATATATTTTCGCATATGCGCTAAATATTGCACGATGTTCTCAGAGAGGTTCAATTAAGCCAAATTTCATAGTATTTTACCAGTAATAGATTTTAATGGATTTTTCAATTGATCAGAAGCAAGTTTTGAATTTTGACCGATAGCGAGTCCGGTCGAGACCCTTTACCCAACTTTTTGTACGAAATTACGAAAAAAAATTAAATAATATGACAATGAACAGTAGCAAAATATAGCTGGGATTCCCCTAGCTTCTCTCTGATTACCATAATGTCAACACAATAATTATATTGGCAGGCATAGCAATAAATAATCAAAATTATTGTTTGTACTTCAAATATTCAAATGACACAGCAATAAATATATTGGTAATATTTTATTTTTAACTTTTGAAAACCATATTTCTGTCATTTACATATTCGGAATTATATTTGTGGAATATGAATCCAATCCAATAATATGGATTTTCTATTTTATTTATATATTATAAAACCCATCTACAAGGGCAAAATTATTATAAGATAAGAAAACAAAAATATCTCCAGAATAAAGAAATGTTATTATGTGATAGTAATTTTGAGTAAAATCTCTCTCAAGCTTTTGCGTTACTAGATTCGGCCTTAATGAAAAATGCGCTTTTTTCCCGCAAAAGTTCTTAGTATTCATTACTCATCAAAAAATATAAAAATTTTACTGTGGACCCTGTATTTTTTATTATTAGCTAATGGATAATAAAATAACCTGATCTGTTTACTCCGTTTATTTTTATTTTAAATAATCTTTACCATTAAACTATCAATTTTTCAATTTGTAGCCATGTTATATTAAATTCCCGGAAGGAAAACCGTTGTAAATGGTGATTTCCTCCCTAAAAAAAGTCATATTTCATAATCACTTTTCATATAGACGAACTTGCAGCTGCAGCCAAGTAAAGCAATTTTTCAAATATTGACACAAAATTTTATTCGTTTAGTTATGGAAAACATTAGTTACGGTGTCTGGGTTACATTTGAAGGGATTGCTTGCGCTGACCTAAGGACGCTTCCCTTTTATTTTACTTTGGAGAAACTAATTGTTTAGGCGAAAATTGGAAATGGATTTATTCACTTAAATGCTAATTCTATCACGCCTATAAAAATTCGTGATGGTAATATATTTTTTCTATTTAAAAGATGTAGATAAGTATCAAACGTGTTTTCATTGGCCTTCCAGTTAAAATCATGTAACAGAAAATTTTGAGAAAAATTTCCATAAAATTTTATACATCATACTTAAAACAGGAAATTAAATATCAAAGTAATAACTTGGCAGTCATATATTCATAAATTACGACGGACTCTTCGATCTGTAATATCATATGAGATTTATAGCTTGACAATTTATAAGTAGTTATAATGTAACTATCAGGTTCTTGGTAATCTTTCGGAGAAAAAAAATATACATAAATAAGTTAATCTGTTCGGAAAAGTGTTTTTTTTTGTCAGAGGAAACCGTCTTTAGAAAAATCAAGTTTATGTGAATGATCTATCAATGATCATTCATTATCGACGTAATGTTAGTCGTTTTTTTTCGGAAATGATTAGTGGGGGAAAAATTTTAATTTCCAAATAAATAGAAATTTCCGCAATATGTCCTTGGGACCAGTTTATTGTCTTTTTTTTTCTCTTGATATAGTTACCTGAACAGTTCAGAGTTCAGTTCAAATTGTCGATGGGTGAACACCTGTGTGCTCGTTCTGAGAAGAATTATATTTTTATAGGCGAATGAAAACAGGTTACCACATTTAAGTTACTGTATGTATGTACTTCTTTATTGATATCATCTACTCAAGAAAATATGCAAACGCTCTCGATAGTGCAGAATAAGGCGATGAGAATAACTCTAAATTGTAATAAGTACCTATACCTCAATCGAAAACATGCCCCAGACATTAAATTGGCTGAATGTTGAGCAGAGCATTAGAAGGGTAAACCTACTCCTAATCTATAAAATAGAACATGGTCAAATGCCAAACATATTTGAATAATTTCCTTGAAATGTGAATAAATTTTCAAAATTGAAATGTCACAAAAATTACTTTACTGAAGACTTTGATTTTCGAGAGCTGTAACATTCTAAATATCACAGGCATATAATTATTACTCCATTTTATCTATCTCATCATAACCCTTAGGGTCGATTCTTAATATTTTGCAACCACCTGAAACTAGACCTTGTAAATGTCACAGGCCCTTTTATCTGTCTCATCATTAACTCTAGTGACGATCGTAGATTTCATTCCGAACGCCTAGCGACCTGCACTGCACATATTCGTCTACTCTACCTATTCTAGGGTAAGAACCAATTTTCTCGTACTGTTCTGGCTCTAGTGTTTGGTTCCCAGATCCAAGTTGACGGACCTGAATTAAAAATTCGAAAATTGCGTTTTTTTTTTACGGCAGTTCCTTCCGCCTCCTGGCTGATTGCCTTGAGGGCCGCCTGGCTGTCCCAGTTAATAATGATATTTTTACTCTCAACTTTTTTTTGATTTATCAGTATGGCGCAGTGCATTATTGCAGCAATTTCCGCCTGATACGACTTGCTGTCCGAGACTTGTGGATATCTCCATCCTTGGTCTGTCTCCGTAGATACCAGCTCCGACCACCTTGTTGGTCTTGGAGCCGGCGGTGTACCAGAAATGGTCTGCTTTAATTGGAAGACCTTCCTTCCAGTCTTCCATATTATCCAGTATGGCAACCCGGCAATGCTCGCTGCAGATGAAAATAGGCGTTGTTCTATCTCTGAGGGCACCTCAAACAGAGAGCTGACCTTTAGATCCTCCTCTATTTTCTAGCTCATGGTCCCTTGGTGTTTTATAATTGGACCCTGGCCTTGTTTCAGTCTTGAGAGTCCGCATTCATTTCACCCTGTACGTAAACATGTATTCGCGGCAAGTTTAGCAGCACCTCCAGGCTGTGGTTGGGTCTGTCTTCATGGCTCCAGTGATGCATGCGCAGGCTAGCCTTTGCAAACTTTGACGCTGTCTAATTACTACGCTCTATGTCACCCTTGTACCCCAGGCAACCCAACCATAGGTTATCATTTTGTATAATCATCTTTGGTTAAGTCCTCAGCAGGTGCCTGACTCTGACTACCAGTACTATATCGTCCACATAGTCGAGCTAGTGAAATCTCTCCCCTAGCAGGTATATCCTTTTTCTTTTTCTTGACGGTAGGTAACTGAATCCTTATGTGTCCTTCGTGGTCAATTGCCCAGAGTGTCGGCATAAGGCGGTTGACAACCTCCATCTCTGAAAAATACGCCTAGAGCCTGGCTAATTGTTTAGAGTGTGGTTCCTTCTGAAACAGCTAGCAGAATCTACACCGGGGCTGTTCTGAACCGTACCGTTCCACTGATTTCGTCGAGGCAGGCCTGTATAAGTGTGTGAAGTCTGCAAAGATAAGAATTTTCTATTGATCTGTGTAAAAGGCTGACTAGAAGATCTAAGCGTGTTGTAACTCGGAAAAATTTAAATTTTTGGAATAAATATGCGTTTCAGCAAGATAGAAAAATTTCACTGTATATACATTCATTTTCCCAATTATAATTTCCCCTACGGGGTTTTTGTTTGCCAAAGTCAATGAGGAAGCTGATGGTGTGGAGTTGCGTCTAATGGTTTGTAGGTTACCTATTACTAAACAAACATCTATATAACCAACTTATGTCTATCAACTATCAATGTTAATCTAAAGGTTTTGTATAAGGATTTCAAAATTACAGATTAATATTCAGCAATAATAAGTAAAGCTACCGTTTACCACATAGGAGCACAATAGTCTTAAAGTAGCAGCAACCGTCTACAAGGCGTGGAATTGAAATTGCTTTTAATCCCCCAATTCAAAAAAGAATCGAAGCCGCTGCCCCTCAAATATTAAGCCCTTATTTCAACGGTTTCTTGTAAGAAACAAAGAAGCGAATTCCCCCTTAAGTGTGACGTCATGCATTTACGATAACGGCATACTTTAATTGAAAGGGCGGATTAATTATACTTAAACTCCCCATAGGGTATATTGCAGCAACATAATTATTAATATGCCAGCAATAAGGATCCGGATGCTACTTTGTTCGGAATTATTTTTCGGCTTAATTTAATATCTACGAAAGTTTATCTCATCTCATTAGGTGCTGAAATAGCTATTAAAATTCGCAAATAAAAATAAACCCTATTCCTGGAGAGAGATGGAGAGTCAGTAATTTGAAATGTGGGTATCGGACTGGTCTGTATAGCGTAATTTATGAGTTCATGTCGGTTAAGCTTGACTCAAGGGAAAAGTGCTTACCGGTGTCCCGCATCCAATGGTTCATAGCTTTTGGGGATGCTTGAACCTCGCACTGCATTACTACGTCTCGGGCAATTGGCGAGGCCAAGAGTTGATTCGTAACGCTTATAAGGGGGTGGACTAAAATATTAAATAGGTTATTAAAGTTATAAAATTTATATGTGAGTCACTTTAAAAGGTTATGCGAAGAAAGCACATTATGGAAGAATAATTTTGCGTCGGCCACTTTCATATTGCTTTCGTTTAGCAACTTCAACACTTGAGTATATAATAAAATTATTAACTACACACTTAAAGCCTTAAATTGAAATACTAATAAAAATTTAAAAGTATGTCTATACGTATAAAAAAAACTAAAGTAAATCAATTTTTGTATTAAATAAAGGCAACCGCCACAATATCTGCATAAAATTTCATCATTTTCTTTATCCTTGTTGCAAATTTATTTATCTTGATAACTACAACGTTTAGGAGTTGGTATAAAGGAATTTGCATTAGGATTTTATTGCAATTGCAGAAATTGAGATACATACATGTTCATGGATTTCAAAAGTAATATTAGTAATAACAATGATTTTAAAAAACAAAAAACCTTAATCGACATATATTTATGGCTTATTTATGGTCGCGTAAGACACATTTTTATGAATTCAAAACCGACTTTGGTTTATGTTTTAGTCATAATAACTCGAAGCGTTATCCCAAAATATATTTTAGGAACAGCAAGTTATTGCAGTGCCAAATGTTGCGGAAAATTAGGTCGTATATTTATAGCGAATATTTTATTTAGGTATACTCGATAAAAGCTTTATCATTGTCAATGAAATTCGTAAGTCCTTTCAAACTAAATTGAAAAAAGATTCATTGTTTTCTTTATTAATGTTCTCGATACGATTAATAAGTCTGTCAATATATTGCAGCCAGAATAAATGGTCAATAGTTCACTTCTTCACAATAATCGTGTTAAACTATGTAATCTTGACAATAATTTGTTTTAGCGACCTACGTACTAGAGAATTCAATTTTTGATATGAAAAGAAATTTTACATTGTTTAATCATGAAAAAAAAATTTACACACAGAAAAGATGCTGAGATGCGATTGTCGCTGTTATTGTCAAGTCTCAAATTTCTTCTGAAATTGTTTGAAAAAAGAACGTCAGAAAAATTGAAAAATTCTTTCCTCTTCGCTTGACGCTCACCTTGAGCTCAACACAGAGACGCACTTCTTGGCCTAATGTTATAAATAAGGATCATTTCACCCTAGTCTAGATTAAATTATAAAAGATGCTATCCCGCTAAGGGCTGGTATTATAAAACTATTTTGACAGATAACTAAAAGTTAACTCCTGAATTTCATAGTAGTTCCAGAAGTTAACTTCTAGTTTTTTGTCAAAATAGTCTTATAATACCCACCCTAATAAAGACTGATTCACTAAAATATTTAGCGCTTAAAACAACAACATTTTTACTGCTTTCAGGCATAAGTAGGTAATAAAAAGTAGGTATACTTACAATGCACAACTACTTCAAATCGTTTGCTTATTGGGGGTGGCACTCCATTTTTAGCTATACATAAATATATGCCCATATCTGTTCTCTGTACATTCGTCAATGTCAGTACTTCACCATCAAAACTTTTGACAGCTGAAATGAATATATTATTTGTAAATATAATTTAACCCAATGTAAAAACAATATGTATATTTTCAATGCTATAGTAAAATATGTATTGCACAAAAAAACTTTTACTTTGTTATTTCGCAAATATTATTCAGTTTTATTTTTATAATTTATTTGATAACCTACAACTATTTTTTTTTTGTGGCTCCCCTACTGCCACATGCCCTAACTAAAAAAAAACAACTTGGAAATTTGAAAGCCGTTTCCATTCAGAATTCAATCAAATCTGTTCAAAAAAATATTGGACATGTAAAACATACCAAAAAACCACGAACCATATACATTGTCTTTCCTAGTATATAGTTCCATCTTACCGTTGGCAATACTTAATAACTTCTAAATATAAGGTTTATGACGTGGTGATATTAGAAACGGATATTAAAAGTAATCAGCAAAATTAATCCTTTTAAATGGGAACAAAACATTTTAGGACAACTAAATCCCTTAGAAAATAGGCTGTTTAAAAATTTGGCCCATTACCAACAGATTTCCTAATTCCTTCAACGTAGCCCTCATTTTTCAGTTAACTCTCAGTGTAAACATACCGAATAATTCTTTCCCTGCAACAGACCGTCGATTGGGCCTCTATACGCCGACCACAACTCATTCAATTGGAAGAATAAAGACAAATGTTTAGTTGGGTTTCAAGTGCTGTTGGATATAAATGCCAGTCGCAATGCTTGTTCTATTTGATGAAACGTTTACCCCAGGCTGCCGAACAATCATTTCTAATAACCTTTTGGACGTAAAACTTCAGCAGGCGTACATTTTTGCCAACAATTGCCGTTTGTAACATTTAGTACGCTTATGCCTTTTGGTTTCAGCCTTTTATTTTTGACCATTTGGAGCGTTTATGAAATAATTTTCAAATGTAGGTACTAAACCTAGTTATCAATTATTACACAATATTGAAAATTCCCTTCAAGATTGTTCCGGCAAAATGATTCGATTGTTATGTTGTTGCTAAAAAATTTCGTGAATACCATTTTCAAAAATGTCATGAGCGAAATTACTACAGAGCAGCTACCTAAATTAAATAAAACAATTGCCTTATTTTGACCAGAGATAATTCTCTCCCGAATGATATTCGACTTGAGAAAAAGTTCTCATTTTTTTTTTAGAAACTAGACACTTGTCAGAATGAGAGTGATTTTTCACATAAAATCGATACAGAATAAAAGTCATATATTTTGATTTTATCCAGGTAAAATAGGTTTGCTAGAAAAGGAACAGATCGTTGCCATTTTTTCTTGCACTCACTCCAGTGATATAGTCTTATCTTATTTATCACCATGTAATACCTACTTACCCGATAAGTAGGTATTACCTTACTATTCGTACATGTAAATTATTAATGCTATTATAGATCTACATCGGAGCAAGTGCCAAATGGTGTTGTTAAAACACGATACCATATCCCGTTGCTTTAGTTCAGCCTCCTAAGCTTGAGCAATATTTTTGGTAGCGTTCGTTGCAAAGTCCTATTTTATTACTATTACTTGCTATCGAAAAACCGTATAAACTTTGGTATTAATTTAGAGAAAATCATTCTTTATTACAGTAAGATACTGCCAGGCAAAGAGCTCGACGAGCAAAATAGTCTAAAGAATAAAATTTGAAATTTATTTATCATAATTTTTTTTTAAAGTTATATAAAACTTTACATTTATTGGATTAAGAAGTTGAAAACATGCTTCAAGTCTATCAAAGCTACTATTGGAAATATACAGGGTACATCGCAAGAAAGTTTTCACTGAGCATGATAGTTGGGGTAGTTTAAACTTGACCATATTGTCACGAATTCTGGGTTCACTAAAACTCACTTCATAAACAGTAACAACTTCTATTAAACTAATCAACTTATCACTTATTGAAACATTATCGAATTAAAACTGACTCAAACTTATTACAACGCTCTATTTTAGTCGAAATTGTATTCAGGATTTAGCTAGAAAAACATCGAATCAAATTTAATAGAATTCCTAGGAACAGTGCGCTGTCCGACGTAAACAAGTGCCTAATTTTTTGGAATTCCGACGCCGCCTAGTCGATGCATTTTCGTAACACTGCCTCCATAGAAATATAATAAAAGAGGAGACAGAACATCTCATTCAAAAATCATTATTTGTTTACAATCAAATATACTGCCAAAGTTATGCATAAGTTAGAAAAAGATGGGCTTAAAAAATGACACCGCTGTAACCTGCCCCTCCATTTCCCCGGCTGCCTTTATCAGAGGCGTGCGATTTTTCTAGATCATGAAAAATTAAGACCTCTAAATATCCAATTAGGCTCTCCAAACCACGTGATTTTTCAATATGGCGACTGTGGCAAAGGATAACGCACACCTAACATGGGATTTTTGGGCTCTATGGATTTTGCCCATTTTTTGATATTTTGTAGAGGATTTAATTCTTAACAACCTTTAAATGAGACGAAATCTTGTAGGTATTACGGTTTTTGAGATATGAGCGTTCAAAGATGAACTTTTTTGCGACTTTTTGTGTGGAGAGTATACATAAAACTGGTGTTTATCAGTCAAAATATTGACAGGTCTACATATTTTACGTCACTAACAAATGTCAACATAGGCTAAGGCCGGGACTGCACTGGCGCCAACATTCACCCCAGTGCGGTCCCGACCTTAACCTATGTTGACATTAATTTGTGAGTGACGTAAAATATGTGAACCTGTCAATATTTTCACTGATAAAAAACAGTAACACCAGTATCTCGTATACTCTCCACACAAAAATTCGCAAAAAAGTTCCTCTCTCAAGGCTCATATCTCAAAGACCGTAGTACCTACATGATTTCGTCCCATTTAAAGGTTGTTCAGAATTAAATCCTCTACAAAATATCAAAAAATGGGCAAAATCCATAGAGCCCAAAAATCCCATGTTAGGTGTGCGTTATCCTTTGACGTTTGTTTATTTATCTTGAGTTAATTTGGAATATTTTCAAGCTAATTACAGTTTACTTTATTATAATATACTTTTCGAGATGCAGAGTGAATATTTAAAGACTTAAATGCAGGAAAATCGGGATGTGGGCGAACGATAAGTTTGAAAAGATGTCTATTTGACAATTATTTACATTTTGACCTAATTTTTACAGCAATGAGCAAATGAAGGCCTATAAAAGCTTAGATTCTTACAAGTATTTCGAGTATGGCTTTATTTTAGATGCAGGAACAGTGGTACCGAATAATTTCTACGTTTTAATTGGAAAAATTTGAAAGGTTGGGCACTGAAACCAACCTGACATCATCCTTGTTGAAAGGCCTTCTAAAATCAACTACAAGACACCTTTGTGGCATTTTTAATTAGAAAAAAGCCTTATGAAGTCAATAAAATGAAAAAATAAATAAGGTTTAGTCACAAAACAACCACACAATGCACTTTAAAAAGCTTTAAATTCTGTACTGTCATATACGGAATAAGGAACTTCCGCCCCGGTCGCCATTTTCGAATATTTTTGACAGGTCGTTGGAATGCCTAATTAACTACACCACTGCTTGGGCTGAAAAAAACATAACTTCACGTACCATCGAAATACCAATCCAGGGTTAGAATAGGAATTTTTTTTACAGATCACGCACTGGCGAGCCATTGTAGTTGCTAATAAAATATAAAAGATGGAAAAAACACTGAAAATTTATTGAAAATCGCAAATATTCCCAAACACAACTCAGCAGCATTGGATAGCTAATTTTTGACATAAAATAAATGAATGTGTCAAATCCCGTGTCACTGGAGTAAACAGCGTTGCCACAGCTATTTCCCTAATTCATTATAAATTTACGTTATTCAGAAACTGAATAGTTTTTGAAGTGGAAATTACAGATTTTATTTGAAAAAACGCACGTTCATATGTGTAGTAACATTTTCAATTGATTGTTAGAAAGATTTTTTATTTTTTTTTTCTTTCTAACAATTTCTATTGCCAACGAAAGCTCAGACCAATCAGTGTAGTTCAACGCCGGTAGGGGTATTTGCCCTCGGAGTAGTTGTTTCTGACTGGTCAACGAAGTTCAATTTCAATTGAGATGACACAAATAATGCATGCAATATAATCAACCATTCCCTACGTTTTCAAACACAGGCGGTATATCTAGGGCAATCCGCAGAAATTCGCCAACATTGATTTCTGGCGAAAACAATGTTTGATCGGGATAAAATGTAAACAATTCAGTCTCTCTTTTATTATATGTCTATGACTGCCTCCCTCCTAAATCAGATCGTCTGATCTTATTCTCGTGATAAGCCTTCAATTTATGGAGATGTACCAACTTCATCTTACCTTTGGAGCCGCGTTGGATTCGATACACCACGTCGGTCGCTTAGTATCTTTATAATCGTGTACGGGCCTTCCCATTTTGGTGTTAGCTTGGGAGATCTACCTTTCTTCCTTTGAGGGTTATAGAGCCAAACTTTGTCATTCGCCTGGAAACCTGTAGATTTCGCCTTGAGGCTATATCTGGTTTTCATTCGATCACTGTCACTTGCGAACTCTGTCCTTTCTCTATATCATGGATGTCAAGCAGCCTTTCTCGCAGATCGTCAGCATAATCTTCGGCTTCCAGTCGGCGACATCTGGTGACACGAACACCAAGTCACAGGGTAAACGAAGCTTCTTTTCAAACAAAAATATGTAATTTCTGTTGTGTTACGTACAGCTGACCTGTTCGCCATCAGAAATTGAGGTTATTGCTCAGTCCAGTCATCTTCATGCCTGTTAACTCTTCCTCGATTGTCTTGTTGAATTTTTCAATCATGCTATCTTGTATTGTGGATGTGTCGTAGCCACATTTTAAATTTCGCCATTTTATAAAACAGCTAGCCACTTTATAAAACGCGGCCACATTGTAAAATAATTGTTGATTTTGCATTTCTTTGTAATATGGCTTGTATCTTTAACCATTTTATAAACTGGCCGATCAAGTGCGAGCTATATTCTTAAAGAAAAATATATACCTGTTGTTTTGCATTTTGACGGAATTCGCGAAGAAAAAAAACAGGAGATGAAAGCAATACTCGGTCTAAACAAAAATTGGCTTCCATTATTTGGTAACACACCTGGTAGAAACGGCCTTGCTTACCTCAAATTTATGGCTTACCTGCATAAATAATTATAGAACAAAGATTTTTCCACAGGTAAAAAGGAATACCAAGATAACTTAACAAACATACACTAATAATACTTCTTAACTAGTTTAAAAAATGCAACCGTGAAAGAAGTTTATTCTCGGCAAACAAATAACCTCACTTTTATTTTATATTGTGGCTGATAGTGATATTCGCCGAAATGCAAAACAGCAAAAAATTATTTGCCTTTGAGAATATGGCTTGTACTTGAACGGCCAGTTTATGAAATGGCCAAAAGTATCAGCCATATTACAAAATAATTAACATAACTGATTTATTTTGCAATGTGGCTGCGTTTTATAAAGTGGCTAACCGTTTTATAAAATGGCGGAATTTACAATATGGCTCCGACAGATGCACGATTCGCAAAGTTTTTGAAATAGTGGTGACTCGAAACTGCGCCCTTGATGGGATTCCAAACCTTTTGCAACTTTTGCAACTTTAGATGCTCCTTGATTTGGAATAGCGAAAACTTCTGGCCACTTGCTAAAATAATCCATAATCATTCTCGACTAAAAGAAAGTCCCATTCATCCCGCACAGTGCCTTGAAAGTTAGGCCTCTAGGTGATATTCCTTGCCAGGTTAGTCAGGATTTTCTGGATTTCTCTAGATTAAAAAATGGCTTGATGTCATTATCTTGTAATTGGTCACTTCTAAGCTGTTCGGAACTCCATTCTTGATCCGTTTCAAAACGGAGGCTTCTGATAGGAACTCCTTTACGCTAGTCTATTCTGAGGCAGTGTTTGCATCGAGCTGGGCATGGCCGTCTGGATAAACCACTCGACTGAAGTATTCACCCCTTCTTCTCCGTCTTATATTTGCGAAGACAGCTCCAACGCCTGTGTTGCTCGCTCCTGTGTCTAAAATAAAATTTCCATGTACCCGTGAGTATCCTAATAAAGGACTGGAACATAGGGCTGCCTTTAGCCTCCCAAAAGCTGCGTCACAGTCGGTGGTCCAATGAAAAATAGCTTTTTCTTCAGTAAGTTTATGACGTCGCCGCTACATTAATGAATCCTTCTACAAATCGTCTGTAATCAAAACTGAAAAATAATTTCGGGTACTAAATACTTTCCGCATCCTTAATTACATTTTTTGGCCCATTTTTGCAATACATTTTTTTTTAAATGTTACCTAATAAAAGAAAAACCGAGTGATTAGTACCTACAAAAAATATTGATTTGCTAAAATATATTGCTTCCAATTTATTTTTCTATGTCCGAGAAAAAGTTATTTGGTTCCATAAAAATTATATTAATTAGTAACACTAAGAACTAAACTATTTCGCAAACATATCTAAAAAGGTTGATAGCTTGAAAACGACAAAACTTTGGAGCAAAACTACAGCCATCAGGGTTTTAGATGACTCAAGCTATCACTCGAATATAGTCGATGTACCAAGCAGCCTGTATATTCAATAGAGGTCGGTAAATCCTCTAATTTAAAATTCGATGCCTTGTTACTCGCCCGAAATGCCAGAATAGAGATGATGATCCCAGGTGACTCTAAAATCTGGAGCACCTCTAAAAATATGAGTTTTTAATCAGAAGATCACTTACAGAAACATATCAAAAAAAAGAATTTACGGTTCGGTAAAGCTTTAGAATAATTGATTTTAAGGAAGTAGTAAGTTATCATAGTATATCGAGTAATGCGAGAGGGGAAAAACCTAAAGCAACTATTTTGTGAAATTTAATCTGTTTACTAATTCATGCCCTGTTTGAAACTAGCATAAAGTTTTCCTTACCCTTCTCTCTTCCTCCTTCATGCCTCAAAATAATATTTCTTCCATCTTGCCGCTTCCAACTGACAGTTGGGTCCGGCACCCCGACTGCTTTGCACTTTAGACGAATAGTTCCGCCTTCAATGGCCATGCCGGAGCCTTCAGCTGATTCGTTGTCTGGGAGAATATCAGGTGGAATTACAACATTTAGTATGCCCATCTGAGAGTTATTGGAAAAAAAAAAAAATAGTATTCGGGATACCACCAACTACAAGTATTTACAATAAACTCAAAGTTTTTTCATACCTAACAAATTTTATTATAAAATTAGGAAGACATTTAGAATCTGCCACAAGTGGTAAACGAAAAAGGGTGTAACAGCACAAAATTTAATTATGAATTTCAGCATTTAATGAAACTCAAAGTTTTACACATATATGGCGTTGTTGAGAATCCTTTAAACATTTTAGCTGAAATTTTGGGAAAGAGCTTAATTTTTGTGGTGCGCATACAGCGTATTACACAGAGCTTTGAATTTAATACAAAATTCCTGATTTTTTTTTCCGTTGTATACTTTTTACATTTTAGCCTGTTTAAACAAATGAAAACGATACATAGAAAATGCTTTCGAGCACAAGAAAAACTCCCATCTTTTTTCCAGACGACCGCTGATGTTCAAGTTTGTGTAGCTGTATTTGTTTTGTGTCCAATATTTGTGTAAGCTCTTGTGTTTTTATCATCAAATATAACTGGAAACTCATATTTTTCACAAAGGTAACCGCTATCAATAAATAAACTCAAAAAAATAGTGTATATACAACAATAATAATTTAGGTAAAGCTTTTTGGATCATATAATATTAAGATACGTGAGAGTGATATTATGCTTACAGGCAAATTCAAAAACTTTAATAATTAATAAGGAACTATGAACCTACTTGACTTCGCATCGGGTCAGTATTAATTTGGCACATATAGGTCCCTCCGTCATTTTTCTGTACATTATGTACATTCAATTTCCATGTGTTATGTCCATTATGAGTTACATCAAGCCTGGGATTTTGAGCAACCATATGAGTATGAATTGCTAGGATAGCTTTAGAGTCGGATTTTATCCATGCTACCTAGAACAAAAATATTCACATAAAAGAAAAAGTCATCATATTATTGTAAAAAGTTGTTTAATCTTGAGTGGATAAACATTAAATTTGGAAAAAAGTTAGTTATCATAAATAATATGTATTATTCACAGATATTGTACAAATATTTGTTGGACTAAATATCAACACATTGTAATTGAAACGTAATTTTGTGAATTTAACCTTTCTCTCTCATTAATAAATAAAATAGAGCAAAACTTGCATAGATTGTCCTAAAGCCAACGTTTTCAATTCTCCACAGAACGAGATTACGAAACTGATTTAAGCAGTTAAATATCTATCAATTGAAAACCTTTTAGTCGTGAAAGCGTGATTTGAATTACTTACTCGTAGAAAAAGTTTTGTTTTCAAAGCTTGCAGCAAAATATACCTATTACATTGTTCATAAAAACTCGTCAGAAAAGTTTTGCATTATTTTTACCAAAAAGAAGAAAAAGTTGACACAAAATGATAAAATTCCAGGATGCTCTTTTCTTCCCGAACAAAGTTCATTTTTGATATTTATTAATTAAAAACTTTCTTTTAATAATCCCCTAAGTTTATGGTGAGAATCAATCCTCTTTTTATTATTTCATATTCCTATAATAAATTCAATATTTTTGTAGGCATGTTGAATATTTTGTGTCTGGGTCTTTAAGATTTTTGAACCGTTTGTTTATTTGTATGAAATTAGTATATTGGTTATTTACAAATAGTGTATTCAAATTAAATTACTTATTTTCTCGAAACAATATATGTATAATATCATTGGAGAGAACTTCGCCTAGTCAAACTCTTGAAAATGAGAAACTATAATAGCCCAACCACATGTAGACTGTGTGGTGAAGAGGATGAAACCGTTTTACACATATTATACCGACTGTAGAGCACTGGCTCGCAGAAGATACAATTTATTGAAGGAATACAACGCGACATGAAAAACTTGCCAGCTTGCTTGGAACTTGCTTAAGCAAGCAGTAGCACAATAAGTGAGGCTGCAGTGCAAACCGGGAAACGAGCGCGCCTGATCTTGCCTTAAACCAACCAACCATCGTCCAAGTGGGGCGCGCACAGCATCTGAGGGTACTTGATCCAAGTAGAGTTGGATCGTTTCAACCTGGCTTTTTAGAGATGTCATGATGCTATGATTATTGGATTACATCTATTATCAAGTCATTTTATGTTTTGACAATATTTTCGTTAGAAAATGGCATAAGTTTCAAGGATTCTTTTTTCCCTTCTTGGATTGGGAGCTCTTGAGAAATAAGACATTGACAAGAGGTTTAGATTTTTAATGAAGGGGGTGATTCGTTAGGATAAGAAAAATGAAAGGCCTGTTGAGTTTTTGCCAACGTTTTGCCCAAAAGTTTCGGGCTTCATCAGGGCTAAAATGTATATAAGGAACATCAAAAAGTGCCAATAAAAAAAGTTGAAGTTAAAATCACAATACCTACATAGATAAAGATGGTAAAAAGACAAAAAACACGAAAATATAAAAATATAATAACATAAAAATAGAAAAATTTGAAGCACAAAGCGAATACAGAGATATAAGCAAAACAACAAATAGTATTTACTAAAGATAGAGGATAGTGATTTTGTTTACAAAATACAAAATACCCCTATCCTTCCATTGATTCCGGGCCTAAGAACTAAGTTGTCAAAAATCTTACAAACACAAGATAACATTAGGGTGGTTTCCTATACAAAGAAGAAAGTAGGTGACTTATTTAGTAAAACCAAAGACAAAACCGCTAGGTATCTGTGATAGTTCTAACTTAGTTTATAGGATTTATTGTATTCATTGTGACATATTGTACCTATAAAGGAGAGACTAAGCAAAAGGTCTCAATAAGATTATATCAACACCAATATGATTGCCGAATTATTTACATTGATAAACAAGAAAAAACTGCAGTGGCGACTCATCATTGACAATCCGTCAGTGTGTATAAGAAAGAAAAACTGGAAAAAGCGACAAATTCTGGAGATGTTATTTATCAATAAATATTAAACCCAGGCAGTTAACTATAAAACTGATACCAATAATTTAAGCGTCATCTATTGCAATTTGATAAATTTATAGTTGTTGCTTTTTATATAGTTAAAATAGTCAAATTATAGTTAATAATAACAATTTCTAAATCTTCTGGTTAGGTGTCACTGATAATAATTAGTTTGTCGTTGTTTTGCTTATATCTCTGTAATCACTTTGTCCTTATCCAATTTTTCTATTTTTTATATTTTTATGTTTTTATTGTTTTATATTTTTGTGTTTTTTGTCTTTTTACCTTTTTTATCAATATATTGTGATTTTGTTATGTGCAATCTCATGTTACATCCTAAGAATCTCGCACTGTTTCATACAAATTATGGCCACAACTTCATTTTTTTTGTTAGCACTTTTTGATGTTCCTAATATATATTTTATCCCTGATGAAGCCCTGAACTTTTGGGCGGACCGTTCGCAGAGACTTATAAACAGGCCTTTTATTTTTCTTATCATAACCGACGAATCACCCACCGCCTCCATTGAATACCGATAGGAGACGAACTTCACTTAGTTTAAATTTTTTTTATGTTTTAAAATTATTGTGCTAATGTTTCGTTTGTACTCTAATGGTTAGTTTTATTGATACTATATTATAAATGATCAAATGAATATTTCAAAAGTAATCTAGGCTGACTCTAGCGTAATATTAGAAGACAAAAACAATTTCGCATCATCTGCATTACTTTGAATAAAAGGAGTAAACCTATAGAACATCCGTGAGAATTGAAAACGGCTTTTAAAGCAGGAAAGTTTTAATTAAATCATTTATTAAAATTCAATGAAACAGACTTAGCGGAATTGTTTCTGGGTCTCTGGAGACCAAAATATTTTACCGCACGTCTAGTTCACATGTGTTGTTAATCACTTGTCTTCTCTCCGAGTAAATCTACCACGATATATCTTACGCACTGGGATGGATATAAATTTAATAATATACAGGGACGTGTGTAATGGTCCTGATAAATTAGGGGTGTCTTCTAACTTACCTGAATAGCTGGAAATCCGTTTAAGTTCAGAACCGTCTGAATTATCCCTTATTTCCACTTTCTGCCCTTAGCAAGTTTTACATTATTCGGAAAGATAAACAGCAAACGTAATTCAAATAAATGACTGGATAAAGTAAAAATTTTAGAATTGTCTACCAACTTCACATTGTGTGAATTTATCATAATCTTATTTATCATCTTATAGAGTTTGATTTGTAAAATTAGCTTTTAACTTAATGCCTACATAAGTTAATTTCTAACATTAGAATTTTCTAAGAAACAATTATCGATTTCCATCAATTTTAATGTTACATTACCTTTACCCCCAGATAATATTTTTATTGGATTTACCGCAATTACTTAGAGAATTTTCAAATAAAAGAGCATATTACGTGACGAAAAAAAAAACCAAAGGATTCTGTGTATAATAAGGTCTGTGACAAAATTATTTTTCCACTATACGTCGAGATCTTCAATTTTTCACGCGCTCGAAATATAGGAAGAGAAAAATATAAAATGATTTTATCAAAGATGCCGCTCAGATCACCGATAGCACCTATATATAGCTCTGATTGCATTGTGGGTTCGCCCGGAGGTAACACAAAGATGCCCAATCAGTCTGCACCAAACACTTATTGGATTTTACTTCTTGCAAACGAACTTTCTTGTAAATAAAATCTGGCGAAAACCAATTGTGAGCATTTTTTCTTAAAATCAATGTCTTTTATTGCTGTATTTTTTGGAACAAATTTCCCAATTTCAACTTATGAATCCAAAATAAAATTTAACGGGATAAGGTTTAGAATTATTTTCGCGTTTATAAGTATAGTCGTTGCACTAGGAAAGGTTTCAGGAAAATAATTAAAAAGTCTAAATTAAAAAAAAAATGCAAATGTTCCGAAATAGTCTGCATATTTTGTGGGAGAATACTTTAGATAGGTTTGCAATTTAATATTGGAATATACCTATTCAAAATAGGCCCGCGTTGACTGTCCACCTCATCAGTTGCGGGTAATAGAAACTTTGGTAATAGTTAGAATGTTGTTTTCAGCTTAATAAACAATTCGAACCACACGATATTTGGAATACATACTATTGTAAACGCCCAAGGCCTTTTCGGGCAGCAACTATTTAGGGATGCATGTTTGAGCATATATTATTCAACGGAATAGGTAAATTTGGTACTATGAGATTTTTTAAAACTATTGCCACTGTCCATGAAAATATTTTTTTAGAGCAAACTGAGTGAAGGGTCTCAGGACCACAGAAATTTTTCTTTTTCTTCCGTATTTCCACCGTGGTCCTTCTGTGATTGATCGCTGTCTGGATGATTTCTTTGATACAGATTTTGTTTACGTTGATAACTTGATACCGGAAAGCAAAAGCAAAGGTTCAAAGGCACACGCGAGCATTAAAGAACCAATGGTGGATAAGAAAATCAAGGCTCATATTACTTGGCCCATCACAATCTTCGAACCTATTGCTCATTGTACAAATCTGTGAACCGAGTGATTGCATTTGCAACTTTAAATTGAACTATCTAAACAACTATGCATAGATTCCTAAACTAACTCTAGTACATTAACTATTTACCTTATATGAAGACAAGTGGTTGACGACGCAAGTAAAGACGATATCCCTGCCTTGAGTGACTGTGTGATTTTCTAAGGGAGCCAGAAATTCGGGCTCAGGCTCTGGCATTTGACCTGTAACAAAGCAGAAAGATAACTGTAAGGGGGCGCAAATTCAAAGGCACTCCATACCTTGAGATTTTAATTAAAATTAACGGAAGAATGCAGTATTTAAAATACCTACTCAGAATTTCTTCGTTATGTAGATAATTTAATAATTTACTTTAAAAAAATTGAACTTAGAAAAGGTTTTCCGAATATTTTAAATTTTTATTTGCATAACAAAAATTTCAAACTAAGAAGGCATTTATTATAAAAAAAAAAGATTGTCAACAAGGAACAAATAGGACATAAAACCTATATAAAAAAATGGTATTTGCAAGAAAAAAATGGCATTGACAGTGATAATAACAATCAGTTTAGAGCTCACTGCTAATACTATCTTCATTATTTATATATAAAATCGCGGCTCTTAATACTGATCATCATAAAATAATTCGTATATTTCAACAAACGAAAATCGTAGGCGCATAACAAATATTTGAAAGCAAGTTCCCCAATTCCCGCTCCCAGAAAATTATGGTTGACTGCAAAGCGGAAATATAAGTTAACTTAGCTTCAAAATTCATTTTTTGGAAAGTTATTGAATTGTAGATTTCTTAAGAGCAGAACTTTAAATTTTAAATTACTAAAACTTCGCAAACTGCAAACAGGTTCCCGATAGTTAAAGCCTATCGTAACAGCTGGGCCATATTCAATTTTATAGGTCTTTGTTCCGTATTTACGCAATAGCCAGTAGTTGCCTTATTTGCCGAATTCTTCAAATGGATTGAAACAAATATTCCCTGTAAAATGCACGTTCGAAAATATAATTATTTTTGAAGAAGTTACATGAGATTACCTTACTGTATTATTATTATCATACTTAGTTTGTGGCCTATTATTTTTATTTCTTCAATTAGCGTGTCTGTATGTATGTATGTATGTACAGTCGTGAGCACAAAAAGTGGGACACCCGTTTTTTCTTATTGTAAAACGGGCTCACCAGCTATACCTACGTCAATGACAGGGATTGTTATATTTGACGAAAAATCGATTGTAGAGAAAATACTGATTTACGCAAAATAGCGAAAAATGACAAGACCTATCAGTCGGGTGTCCCAATTTTTGTGCTAATGATTGTACCTAATTTAATTTCCGTTCGTATAGCAAAAACTATTGATTTGAAATCTATCAAACTTTGACATTATTAGACAATATTAGACAAGAGATATCTGTGGATGATGTCCCAATTCACCGACAAGACCCTTTACGGATGTGACGGAAATAACCGAGGGGTAAACCACTAGTGGAAATCATTATTTATTTTTTTGGGAATCACATAGTAATCAATCAGGAATACATGGAAATCACTTGGGTGTCCCTGGGAATCGCTGGGAATCTCCTAGGACTCCATGGGAATCCATTGGCAATCGCTCAGAATCATATGGTGATCGCTGAGTATATTATCTAATTCTAACTCAGCAATCACATGTCATACATTCGGAACGATACAGTTGTGTATTTGCCTTCAAGACTAAGTTTCAGGCAACATCGAGTGCTAGACAATTTGAAATGTCTTTGATATACCAATGAGTTTCTCAGTAACTGAGCCAATAACTGAACCCGAGGCCACGAAGAGTTTAGGACTTGAAGAAGAAGAAGAACTTTCTCACAGAAATCAGAAACCAGTCAAAGCGTTTTTGATCGGTCTAAATCGCCAACAACCAGTTTTCTGACTAGTTTCAACCAATGAAATTCGCTCTGATTGGTTTGTGATATCTGTGAGAATAGATCCAAAGTATGATAATGTTGTAGATCATAAAAATAAAAACATGAATCTTCAGACCTATCGAATCCTACTTGACAAAAAAAGACAGAATTTCTTCACACATCAGGGTTTAGCAATTGCAATTCGCTACAATTAAGAGATTATTCATGGCACAGTTTTAATTTGGTTCTTTCCAGAGAAGCAGGGACGTTTGTCGATCGACGAGTCGATCGAGTATAAGAGCTATGGGAATGTCCCTGAGAAAAGCACAAAAAAAGTCGGAAATCCAAATAAATATTGGGCAGTGCGAGAAACAGAAACGATAGCTCATCTGAATCAGAATCAGAAATAAGTTTGTCGAGTGAAACCCTGAGTGAAGATGTCTCTGATTCAGATGAACATTCTAGTTAAATCGAAGAAATATTTATTAGGTTAGATCCATATTATGCAGTGTAGACACGCAACGGTATCTAAGCTTCAACAACTATTTATACCTACAACAAAATCGGTGTGGGTGTGGACAACCATGAAAATGAAAGTTGCTAAATTTTGGAAGAGTTGCAAATACAGAAGTTGCCAATTTTTCAGTGGAAACGTGTTTTTATAAGAGAGAAGACTGTTTATTGTGGTCATATCAATGCGAATCTTATTAATGAGACATCGTTAATTCGTAATAAAATCAGCTGGAAATCGTATGATTGTAGGAAATCATCGAGGAAATCAGATAATCAATTGGGAATGATAGGAATCCCCAGAAAAAATGGAAATCACTTGGTAATCATACAAAAATATCTGAAAATCATTGGCAATCAGTCGCATTTCTTGGGATGGAAATAGATGAGATTCATTGATCACTGATTGCCAAATATGGAAATCACTGTACATTTGTAAGCGTTGGTTGACCCCTCGGAAATATCCAACTTAAATCTTATTCACAGGAAAAACAGCTTCTGATAACGTTATATATTTTTTCGTTATGCATTCTAAAAGAAGATCGTTGGAGAAAAATACAACTTTAATTATATGCTATATTTTATCCTGTAATTTTGAAAATTATATGAAAACAACTTTGGTATCAAATCTTATTTGAAGCGTAATTATTTATACTATACGTACCACACCGTACCCTCAACGACACGCAAATATTCTCCTCAAGAAATCCTGACGTTCCGGACGGTAGCGTGACGGTGCCGTGGTGTGACCACGGCCATTGCTTTCAATGTAAGAATATTTCACGCGTCATTGACGGTGCGGTGACGTGACGGTGCCGGTACGTATAGCATAAATCGCGCTTTATTCTCTTGACGATTTAGGACTGATATGTTGGCTAGTATAAGATAACATTTATGAGTTAATAAGTGAATAAAAAAATAAAAAAAAGCATATTTTTATCAAAGACATAACAAGCTTTTGAACAAATAAATGATTACCAATATATTTACTAATAATGTTTATCAGGATAGTAGTATTCAGGGATGTAATTCTAATAAAATAAGAGTGAAACGTGTTCAGTTTGGCTAACATGCAAACACATTGGCAAATCATTAGACTGGAATAGCTATACATGTTTGTGCTATTACTAAATATTATTCCCTTTATATTTGGTTTCACCACAATAAATGCCCGCAAACTGAATTACAATATTCGTTAGCTGTAATGTTTGTAATTGACAGTGCAGATGCATGCATCATAATCCATTACTAACAATTTCCACTAACACACATACAAAGGCTCAAGAGCACGCATCAAAATTATTATGGAAAAAGTATAAGTTAGAAGTTTTATTTGCCATGTAAGTACTGTAGTGTATGTGGAATGCATTTTTTTTTATTAGAAAATATTTTTTCCATTATATTGTACTTATCTTCAATCCGTCTAGCATCCTCTAAAACAACTATTGTTGGTGTAGTCTACGCTATATAATTAGTTTTTTGTTTGGAACATGTTGCCAGTACGCTTAAAGCAAAACTCACGGAAAAGGCACATCTGGATTATTATATCGTGAAGTAAAATTAACAATAATCAGTTGGAAAAGTTCTGCAAACAAGTTAGCACACGGCGTTAAACTTTTCATATTAAATTATATAATATGTGCGCGAAAGATTCAAATTAGTTACCTCATTCCTCTTGCGTCTCTTTACTCTTTATGATGTTGTGTATTTTGATTGACAAAAATGGCAAGTATATTTGTTACACTGTATTTACAAAATTAAAGCAATGTATTTGGCATAATATTGTGTCATCTCGAAGTTTCAACAGGGCATAAATGACGCTTTTCACGAACCCCCTTCAATCAAATGATTTCCAGATTTATTGTACCAAAAATGACGCCCTGTGCCTTGAATGACGTGCAAAGGCGAATGAAGGGTGTCGAATATGAGGGTGTGATGAGTGTTTGGAAAGACAGATAGGCATGTGGTTTAATTTCAACCAAACGCACATAAAGGACACATTTGCAAGCTTTGAACTCATATACTCGCAGTAAAATAGAATAAATTAGTTGTTAGATATGTTTGATGTGCACCAAAAAGTTAGTTAATATTGAAATTTGGCCTTTATGTTCTCTACAGTTTAGAAATAGATGGTGCCCTATCCAACATCTTTTTTTCTTCCCCCACTTCTATTTACCAGTAATGCAAAAATAGGTTTTTGAGCTTAAATCATCAGATTGTGGTTTGTAGGATTTCGGAAAGATGACACCACTAGCTATTCATAGGTGGCATTATGGTTGTTAGATACATCAATATTGTTCTCTCATTTGATCTGCTGCGAAGTAAACTATTTCGTTATAGATATAAATCAGTTTAGATTAAGCCAGATAAAACACCAAATAAGACGTTAAAAGCAACCAGTGTTTCATTAGATGAAAATCTTACACCAACTTTGGCGTAATTCTCGGTTGAATTAATAGAGATCTCGAAATTTCTTAGTTTATGTTGGTCTCATTTTCAACAAACTCCATTTCTGGGGAAAATAATTTCACTGTAATTTCCAAAAGCGCTGAAATGAATTTAGTAAATTAAAGGTAGTTTTATTGTTCGTATGCAGTTGGGTTTTTATTTTCAAGATTGGTAATTTGTTTATCAAAACTATTTTAGTATGAAGTTATTTGATTTTGTAAGGCTTATGAAAGTTATTTAACAGTCGCGTTCTGAACTCTTGACCCATTTTCAGTTATTGTATTACATTTTCCAAAATCGTAAATCTTTTCAACAAGCTTGGGACATTTAACCAGCAATGTTTTATAAATTAACATTACAGGTAT